AGGCATGATCAAAGCCCACTGCAGCCTCGAACTCTCAGGCTCAAGCTGAGCCTCCCAAGCAGCTGTGATTACAGGCATGCGCCAACATGCCCAGCTACATTTTTATTGTTTTGTACAGATAGGGTCTTGCTATGTTGCCCAGGCTGGTTTCAAACTCCTGGTCTTAAGTGATCCTCCTGCCTCCACCTTCCAAAGCACTAGGATTACTTTTGGATTTATTTTGTTGTTCTTTTTCTGACTTCTAGACTACTTAATCAAGTTGAATACGTATTTCAGACTTCTTTTCTAATACAAGCATTCAAAGCTATAAATGTCCCTCCCGGTAAGACTTTTGCTACATCCCACCAATGTTAATATGGTATTTTCATTATCACTCAATTTTAGGAATTTAAAAATGTGTCATTACAATTTCTTATTTGATCAATGCATTATTTAGACTGTGTCTTTAAATTATATATAGGGATTTTAAAATGTATCATCTTGGCTGGTGTGGTGGTTCACGCCTGTAATCCTAGCACTCTGGGAGGCTGAGGCAGGAGGATCCCTCAAGGTCAGGAGTTCGAAACCAGCCTGAGCAAGAGCGAGACCCCGTTTCTACTAAAAAATAGAAAGAAATTAATTCGCCAACTAAAAAAAATATATATATCTAGAAAAAATTAGCCAGGCATGGTGGTGCATGCTTGTAGTCCCAGCTACTCAGTAGGCTGAGGCAGAAGAAGCGCTTGAGCCCAGGAGTTTGAGGTTGCTGTGAGCTAAGCTGATGCCACGGCACTCTAGCCTGGGCAACAGAATGAGACTCTGTCTAAAAAATATAAATAAATAAAAATATCATCTTGGAGAATCTGTATTCTCTAATTTATAGATGCAGCTCAAGTTTTTAAATTGTTTCAGCTCTTCTGTTCATTTATTGATTTTATTCTGTCTATATCGGAAATTAAGAGATGTATGTTAAAATTTCTTGTTGTGATGGTAATTTTACCTCTTTGTAGTTCTTTTAAGCTGGCTGCTTACAAGTTTAAAACTATCATAACTTCCTAGTGAATTGACTCTTTGATCTAGATACTCATTCTATCCCTAATATATGTTTTTGTCTTAAAAGTCCTCTTTGTCTGATATGCGTACAGCTTTCCTTGCTTTCTTTTGGTTAATATTTACCTGGTATCTCCTCTTCATCCTTTGACTTTCAACCAATTCCATATCCTTATGCATTAGGTGCATCTCTTGTAAACAACATAAAGCTGAGTTTTGTGTTTTAATACTTTATAATTTTTAATACTATCTTTTAAAATATTGCATTTGTCCCACTTTTTCTATGCTTTTCTTCTTATTTAATTTCTTTTAAAAACTGACTTGAGGGTTGTTTTTTTTTTTTTTTTTTTTTTTCTTTTTAAGCGGATGAGACAGTCTGGATTGAGGGTTGTTTTTATACCATTCAAACCTTCTCTCATGGTTTAGAATTCATATACAACTATCTCTACCCATCTTCCTTGAAATTTTTCTTAAATTGACAAAAATTGTATAGTTATCCCACAGTATCTGTGGGAGATTGGGTTCAGGATCCCCCCATGGATACCAAAATCCAGGGATGCTCAAGTCCTGTATATAAAATGGTGTAGTGTTTGCATATAACCTACGCACACCCTCAGGTACACTTCAAATCATCTCCAGATCACTGGTAAGACCTCATACAATGCTAAACACCACTTCATTCATATGGAGTCAACGTAACACTTGGCGAACAGCAAATTCAGCTTTTGCTCTTTAAAACTTTGTGGAATTTTTTCCCCAAATATTGTCAATTCGTGGTTGGTTGCATTCACAGATGCAAAACCCATGGATCTGGAGGGCTGACAGTGTATATTTATATCTGCATGATGTTTTGGAATATGTGTACACTGTGGGAAGCCTAAATCGAGCTGATTAACATACACATTATCTCAAATGGTTATTTTGTGTGGTGAGAACACTTAAAATCCTTTATCTTTCAAGTACACAATGCAATGTTATTAACTATAGTCACCATGTTGTACGATAGATCCCTTGAATGTACTTCTTTTAACTGAAAGTTTTTATCCTTGGACCAACAACTTCCCATTCCCTCCCCTCCCCTCTGTCCCCGGGAACCACCATTCTACTCTCTGCTTTCCATAAGTTTGACTTTATTAGATTCCACATCTAAGTGAGATCATATAGTACTTTTCTTTCTATGCCTGGCTTATTTCACTTACCATTCTGTCCAGGTTAATCCATATTGTTGAAAATGACAGGGTTTTCTTCCTTTTTAAGGCTGAATAATATGCCACTGTGTATATATGCCACATTTACTTTACCCATTCAGCCACTGCTGGGCACTTAGGTTGATTCTGTATCTTGGCTTTTCCAATAAACGTTGGAGTGCAGACAGATCTTTAACATACTGATTTCATATATACCCAGTAGGGGAATTGCTGGTTCATAAGGTGGTTCTATTTTTAATTTTTGAGGAACCTCCATTCTATTTTCTATGATGATTATACAAATTTCCATTCCCACAAACCATGTGCAAAGGTTCCCTTTTCTCCACATCCTCATCAACACTTATCTCTTGAGTCATGTTCACCTAGTATTAGGACCAGAAAGGGGAGGGTTTGTTCCTAGCAGCTCTGGTTCAGAAACTCCCAGAAAAACCTCTGTCCTAGCTTAACTCCAGGTGCCCATCCTCAAGGAGTAAGTTGCCATGATTAGCCTTGGCTATGTTGTGCGGCCAGCCCCGTGGCCTGGAGATGGGCAGAGATGTTAGCAGTAGAAGGAGAAAGATACGCTCAGTGAACAAGAATAATAGATGCTCAGGACCTGAAAGGAAGGCTTCATCCAAGTTTGTTTGGGTTGTTCACCAAGACAGACTATTTCTTTCATTCATTCACCAATCCATGCCTCCCTCCCTCCACCTACCAATTCAGCAGCTACGAAGCACCTGCTGTGTTCGGGCAGCGTCCTGTTCTAAGTGTGCACAGCAGTGCGTGAGACCCAGCTTCTGCCCTCGTGGCTGACAGGCCAGTGGGGCGGGAGGGAGATTGATGTGCAAACTGTTAGAACGCAGGAAACATTTTGAATGCACAGACGGCCTCGTGCCCAGCCATGCCCAGCAGGGATGGGAGGAGGGGGGGTGAGGTGGGGAGGTGGGAGCTGGGCCTGCCCCTAGGACACCTGTGGGGGGGGGGGAGTCAGGCTGGCCCTGCTGGCCTTCCTGCAGGTAGGATTCCCAGACACTGTCCCTTCCAGAAGCTGATTGGAGCTCTCCAGGCATGGATCACCCCACTTTCCCCCAGCCCCTCGTGGCAAGGAAGGCCCTAGAAATTTCCTCTGGCCTTCTGCTGTCTTGCATTTCCTTCCTGAGGGTCTCCTGGGAATCCAGCCCCTAACAATCCTCCTCTTGTGCCACTCGGATGGGCTGTCACTTCTTGCCTCTTCTCTCCATCAGTCACCAGGGCTGGCTCTCATAGTGACTTCATTCTCTCCTAGGTATGTGGCCTTAGACAAGTCATTTAATCTTGCTGTGCCTCAGTTTCCCCACCTGTAAGATGAGGGCAGTAACAGTACCTACCTCATAGAGTCAGGGGATTAATTATTAATAGTTAATATTTGCATGGTGCTTATAACAGTGCCCGACCTGTAGTAATTGTTCACTATTATTATTCTGACCCAGTAGTGGCCACAGAGTCTTCACCATGATAACACCCCTTGTCCCAGCCCCAGGGCCACCCCTCAGCCCTAGCTTGAGCCGCAGGAGTGTTTCTTGCTCTCAACTCCTTGCCAGCCCCCCGTGGGCACAGATCCTTCCAGACTGGGGTCACAGCTCTGCCCTCTTCTTTCTCTTCTTTCCTCTTCTCTCTGCCAAGCCTGGCACCACTCCCAAGTCCAGTCGCCCTGTCCAGGGACATCCCTGGATCCGGGCTGACAATGGCAGCACTTGACTACCAGCACGGTAGTGACAGCCTTTGGCCTCAGCAGCGAGGGGAGGGCAAGACCTCACCCTGCCCTCCCAGCGCCGAGTGGGGTTTCCCTAAGAAAGCAAGACCTGCCTTCCCCTGCTGGCCGGTCGCAGGGGAGCCTCAGCAGACCTGGGATTAGAAGTCTGGAAGTGTGGGGGTCAAAGCCACCTGGAAGGGCCTCCCGGACTCAAAATCCCTCCCTCACCCACTCACTGCTTAACAGGTGACAAAGCTGCCGCCTTAGAAATAAACCAAAACTCTCAGGCCCTGAGCCTCCCAGACCAAGGCTGCCCCCTCGGGGGTGGGGAGAGGGTTGGGGACCACCACCAGGCAGGCGCAGGAAATGGAGCTGCAGCCAGTGGACCCCCATTCTCTGTCTGTGCCTGGGCTGCTGGGGACTAGCATAGCCGTGCATGTCCTGAGGTTCTGGGCCCGGAGTTCTTGGCCCAGAGTCAACTGAGTCAGGGTCAAGTTTAGGTTGAAAACTGAGTAGAGGTTTCAATCTAACCAGGCTTGTGCTGGGCATTTAGCAGGAAAACCTCAAATTCCTGCCCAGGTTTCCTTAGAAAAACTAAGGTCTCTGTCCCCTTTGCTATGGGGACTATGTGTCCTGATTGGGTTCTGATTTTGGATATTCTGTTCCTCAAGGTGACTCCAACAAGTTATCTTGTGGGATTGGGGCTCTCCAGATCTGGGGCTCATAGTACTCCTTCTCCCCTGTGCACACTTAACACACACATACACACACACACGTGCACATGCCTGTCCACACGTGTGTACCCACCACCTGCTTGGCCCCTGCACGGGGAGCAGGCCGGCAGCGTGGGTTATGCCCTGCTTATCAGCTGCGGCTGGCTTCCTCCGCTGGGATCCTTGGAGGCCTGGGTGGGAGCCGGCCAGCACACGTGGCTTCCCGAAGACCACTCAGATAATGAGAGGAAATGCAGTCATCAGCTCACAGACTGCTGGGGATTTGGGCTGCGGCTCCAGGTCGCCACTCCCTAACCCAAGCCCTCCGTCTCCCTCCAGGCAGCCCTCGGCCAATTCCCAGGGCCCGTGGACACCGCCAGAGATGGCCCCTTTTGGTTGCTGGGGCCTGCCCACTGCCCTCCTCGCCCTGCTCTGCTGCCCAGGTGAGCCGGGTGCCTGGGGGGTCTGACTTGGCCCTTGCCAGCCCAGAGGGTGTGGGTGTCCTGTTCCCCCAAAGTTGCTGAGGCTTTGAACACTGAGGCCACCCTGCCATGGGTACAGGATCCTGTGCCAGCCTGGCTTCTGGTCCCTGTGGCCCCCGGGCAGTGGCTGGGGGCCTGGCCTTTTGAACACCAGGTTGAGTAGGCCTCAAGGCTTTGTGGCATGTGGATGTGGCTGGCTGGGGTCCTCGGGAGGTGAAGGGATGCTGGGGTCCAAGGGAAGATGAGGGCATGTGCCCAGCTGGTCTTCAGGAGGGGCCTGGGGACAGCAGGGGCCGTCACCTGGCTGCGGTCAAAGTGAAAATGAAACTGCTTTCAGTGAGTCAAGGGGATGAGGAAGGAAAATGCCACCACGTGCGGAGCACCCTGTGTCTCCAACAACCTGCCAGGTGCTTCCCCAGCACCGTCTCAGTGAACCCTCATGACAACCCTCAGCCCATTTGACAGATGAAGAAACTCAGGCTCTTCAAAGAGCAAGAAAGCACCTTGCCCCAGGCCACGCAGCCGGCGGCATGTGGCAAACTCTGATTCAAATCCAGTGCTGCCCCCACGAAGGTCCTCTCTTGCCACTTCATTAAATGCCACTAGCTGAGAGCTGGGGGAGGCAAGGACGTGCGGGGGAGGTGGGAGCCCAGGACACAGGCCGGGCCCAGCTGGCCGGGCTCGAGCACCTTCCCAGTCATTGCTGAGTGCAGGTGGGCACTGAGGGCTCGGTCTTCATGCATCAGACACACCCTGGGTATCTGCCATGCACAGGGCATTGTGCTGAGCTGAAAGGGAAACATGCAAACCAGGGCCCTGCCTTCTAGAAGCTGCAGTGTCTAAGGGCACGTCAACAGGAACATAATCATTTCGAGGTGGTCTTGTTACCTGTCTCCCCTGCCTTTCTCCGCACGAGTGAACCATCCTGACTTCCTTGTCCCTCCTGTGCACCGAGCATATTCCCAACTGAGGGTCTTTGGCGGTTCTCTTTCCCTGGATCACTGCCCCCCAATATCTGCAGGGCTTGACACCCCTTCATGTCTTTGCCCACATGTCAGGGTGAGACCTTTGCTGAGCACAGCCATTAACATAGCACCGGACCCCAGTCCTGTCCCTTTCCGGCACTCATCGCCACCGGACTGGCTGGCTGTCCTGTTCATTGCTTACTGTCGGCCGCCCTCACGGGGACAGGAGCTCTGTGGGCCAGGGACTGGTCTTCTTTGACCACTGCTGCCCGCCCAGGGCCTAGCCCAGGGCCTGGCACATAGCAGGTGTCCCAGAGTTGCGTGTGGAAGGAAGGAAAGGAGGGAGGGCCACAGGGGACACGGAGAGGCCTGTGGTGGGGAGGGGACATTCAGGCTGACCTCAAAGGTCGAGCAGGATCCCTCTCTATGGAGATGGGACAGAAGCAGGAGGAAGGCTGATCCGGGCTGCTGGGCAGAAGGGCCGGAGGAAGGAGGCCACGACCGGGAGACAGAGAGAGGCAGCCTCCTCGGTCTGGGGTCCGGCCGCGGGGCATGGGGTGGTGAGGCCTGACAAGGGGGAAGGAGAAGGGGCTGACCACGGCCTTTCTTCCTGGGCCCCTGACCCTTGACTGGCAGCAGCAGACAACTCCATGGGCAGGGCAGCAGGGATGTCCAGTGCCCCGTGTCTCGGTCTTCCAGGGTCTGGGGAGAAGGCGTTTGAGGTACACATGTGGCCGGAGACGCTGGTGGTTGAGCCTGAAGAGTCCCGGGAAGTCAACTGCAGCACCAGCTGTGACCAGCCTGACAAGGGAGGTCTGGAGACGTCCCTAAATAAGACTCTACTGGCCCACGGACCTAGGTGGAAGTACTACTCGATCTCAAACATCTCGAGGGACGTGGTCCTGTACTGCTACTTCAGCTGCTCCGGGAAGCCGCGGCACAAATTTCTCAACATCACCGTGTACAGTGAGTGGCTGTGCCAGGGGCCCTGTTGCCCCCCAGGGCAGAGCCCGCATCTGCTGAATGTACCCACAGCTGCTCTGTGACAGCCCCTGGGCCCGCATCGTGGCCCTGCCTCCCTGCGCTCCGGGGGTGACAAAACCAGGCCAGTGGGCTCAGAACCTGCTCACACCCTTGGCAGGGCGCCTTGAGCTCGCTGGTCTCTCAGAAGCAGGTGGCCCAGAGTCTGAGTCTTGCTCAGGGGATGTTCACCCACATCCAAAGCCATTTCCCAACATAGCCTTCATCGCCTCCTCCCAGCTCAGTTGCTGGAGCACCCCACATCCCATGCCAAAAGTGGGGGTTCCCCAAGAGAGCTGGGCCCCTTCACCTCAGGAAGAGAAGGCTGAGGTACCTCCTGGTGTTTATGTCTTCCCCTGAGGGGCCCACGGCACATGTGTGACCACCACACACACACCTGCCCATGAGCCATGAAAACCTTGCACTGGGGACAGGACACTATCAACATCTTAGCTCCGAGGGTGTCACTAGGGTCCTCCCCATCGCCAGCATCAGCAGACCGGATGATGGAAAGATGTCCTAAACCCAACATATCATCCTGGGTGAGGGTGGCGGTGGGCAGTGGCAACCAGGTATTCTAGTTCAAAAGGGACCGCAGGGTGCCTCTGCGGGGCCTGTTTAATAGGTGAGGAACCGTGGTCGCCGTGAACCTGACCCTGGAGGACCAGGGCAGGCCTGGCTCCGGCCCCGCCTCTTAGGTTTGGAAACTCACAGTACAGTCCCCAAGTGCCCCGTTCCAACGAGCACTCTCTGCCAAGCCTCTCTCAACATAATTATCCAGTTTTTGAAATTTGTATTTAATTTCTGGAGGGGAGGGAGACAGACCCAAACTTTTATATCTTCCCAGGTGGCTATACAATTTCTGGACCTTCTCTTTGTAAACACCCGACCATCCCTGTCCTGTCCATTGTTGAAACCATGACGTCTGTAAAACTACCACACAGCCCACGCTTCACCCTGAACTGCTCCCTTCTTCCTCCCCTTACAAACAACCAGCCCCAGCCCAGGCCACTGCCTCCCCCACTGGTCCAGCCAGGGACCTGGAACACCGCAGTGATAGGAGCGGGTCCTTGCCAGGTGAGGCCTGCTGGGACTGCACCCCCATCCTGACCAGACCTCCCTCCTTTGTCCCCTGTAGAGCCTCCGAAGCAGGTCACTCTGAAGCTGCAGCCCACCTGGGTGGCCGTGGGCAAGTCCTTCACCATGGAGTGCAGGGTGCCTGCCGTGGAGCCCCTGGAGAGCCTCACCCTCTTCCTGCTCCGTGGCAAAGAGACCTTGCACATCCAGACCTTTGGGAGGGACAATCCTGCTCTCCAAGAGGCCACGGCCATATTCGACAGCACAGCTCACAGGGAGGACAAACACTACAACTTCTCCTGCCTGGCTGTGCTGGACCTGGAGTCTCGCGGTGGCAGCGTCTTTCGCAGCGTCTCGGATCCCCAGATGCTCGAGGTCTATGGTGAGGAGGGCCCCGGTGACGCGGGGGGCAGAGAGAGGGCACTCACGTTCAGCCCCTTGGGGGAGGAACACTCCTGAGCCCGCTCTCGCTGGCATGGGATGCAAACACCCAGGACCCCACTTCATCCACGCCTTCCTCTCACCCTCCCTGCCCTGGACCTCTGGCCAAGTCCCCCGCGTGGACCTCGGCTGTTACCGAGGTCAGGAGAGCTCGATAGTCGCTTGGCCCTAGCAAGCTTCACGACCTTGACAGAGTCAACCTGCGCTCTCTGGCCTTAGCTCTTCCCTACAATGAGAAGGCCGTCCTGACTGACTGACCCCTAAGCTCCCCAGAGCTGTGCCGTTCGGTGACTCTGGGTGGCCGAGGCATTCCCTGCCTTCAGGGAGCCTGGCATGAAGCTCACTCAGCTCTGCCCGAGGAGGGGCTCAGCCTGGATCATGCCACCCTCCAGGCCAGGCCATGGTGTCCAGCAACCACGTGCTGATTCCAGGGGCTGCTGGCAGGGGGACATCTGCTGTCACAGTCCGACAGATGGGAGGCCACCTTTCTCCCATATAACACTTTCGGGGCAGACTCCATTTGCCGCTCATCTCTGCAGCCCAGGTTGACTGCAGGATGGATGAGTGGGTGGGGATAGGTGGCCTCCCCTCCCTTTGGGCCCTGGCACCCAGGACCACAGGACGTCTAGGACCACTGCCTCTTCCCTCCCCAGAGCCTATCCGCGACAGCCAGATGACGGTCATCGTCGCAGCTGTGTCGGTGCTGCTGTTCCTGTTCGTGACGTCCATCCTGCTCTGCTTCGTCTTCAGCCAGCGCTGGCGGCAGAGGCGGACTGGCTCCTACGGGGTGCACAGTTCCTGGGTGAGGCTGCAACGGGCCTTCCGGGCACAGCCTGCCTGAGTGGCGTGGCCACTGCCATGGTGGTCACTGGACCTCAGTGTGGGGCCTCGGGTTTTTGTTCCGGCCTTGCTTGAGGGTTTTTGCCAGGCGGGGGGGGCTTTTGGGGCCTTTGGTTTTTTTGGCTTGACCCCACCAACCCCTTGGCTTTACCCTTTTGCCTTCATTTTTTCTTCTTGGGTTACCCGGTGGGGGGAGGGGGACCCGGCGGGGTTGACTTTTTTTCCCTAGACATCTCCCTCGGCCTCCTTCCAGCCCAGGCACCAGACACCCACCCTTATCCGGCCCTGAGTGACTAATTCCTACTGAGGGAGGGTGGGGGAAACACACTCTGGCCCGGCGGGACAGAGGACACTCTGTTCCCTCCTGGCCCTCTAGGACCTAGGCCACTCCTGGCCAGAGGGGGACACTGCCCTGGCCTCTCTGCCAACAGAGCCGGCTTCCTGGGGTGAGGGTGGGGCCCAAGGGACCAGGCTCGGCTCCAGGGTCCCGCCCCCTCGGCTCAGGCCCCTCCCCCACCCCTGGGGCCCCTCTGTCCTCCTCACAGGGACGGTAAAGCTACGGAAAACAGACGCAGTCCCGCTTCTCCTCTCCTCTCTGCTCCATTACTAGGCCAAAAGGAGACCCTGTTGTCCCAGGGAGCGGAGTGAAGGGAGTGGGGCTAGTGGGCGGGGGCGTCTGGTCTAGGCAGGAAGCAGCAGGGCAGAGTCCGGCCGGAGTGGCTGCCAGGCCCTTGGCGGTGCTCTGGGAGCTCTAACTCCAGAGCAGAGATCGGGCCGGTTCGGATCTCAGTGGGGTGGAGAGAGGACTGATTCACCCAGAAGACAGCTGGGTTGGGTTGAGGGAGCAAGAGGGGCTGCCAGACAACAGAGGGGCAGGATGGGGCTCCGTGGCTGTTTCCAGCCCTTCGATGAAGATGGTGTGGGTCCCCGGGCTGGCGTCTGTCCTCATGGCAGGCTCTCGGCATCATAGTAATCTGGGGAGATAGTACCCTCATCTTGACTCCCTCCTGCCTCAGTGGACCCGAAGGAGGAAAAGGGAAGGGGACAGGACACTTGCTCAAAGCAGTGATAGTAGGACCCCTCCCCCCGCCACAGGGCATATGGCTCTCCTGGCCTCCTGATCCCCTCAAGGCTGGGGCCCCACTGCCCACCCACTCAGCCCTACCTGAAGCTGGGCGTACATCGGGACCCACAGTCCCTGTGGCACTGGGGGGTGGAGGTGGGGGCACAGCTCTCCTGAGAAGGGGGAGAGAAAAGAAAGACTGTCATCAGAAGCCCAGAGGTGGCTCTGGTATCACCCATAAGTCTTCACCCCACCACCAGCCCTGGGCAGCTCTTCCAGCCCAGCCCCCGAGCAGAAACCTGGCAGCACCCAGAGCCCCCAGCCTCACTTACACCTCCCTTTTCCTGGGGGCAGGAGGCTGGTGCTGGATCCTGGGCACATCCTGCAACTGGGGCTGACATGGGGGAGGCAGGAGGAAAGGGGCTGACCAGGGCAGCAAGGGGCCTGGGGAGGGCACCAGGCAGGGCAGGTAGTGGTGGTGAAACACCAAAGGCCCTTCGGTCTCCCCCTCCTCCTCCTCTTCTTCCTCCTCCTCAGACTCCTCCTGGTGACCCTCCAGGTAGACCTGGGGATTGTGCAAAACAGGGAGGGGAAATGAGGGTACAGGATCAGGCTGGCCCTACACCTACTCCTCCGCCCCCCTAAGTGACTTCCTCCAGATGTGCAACATAACAATGGCCTCTGTTTATTGAACATTTACTACATGCAAGCAAGGCATTTTGGAGACATTTGTTCCTTACTTTGTAGGGGGGAAAACTGAAGCTCAAAGAGGTTGAGCAACTTATCTGAGGTCACCCAGATAATAAGTGGCAGAGCAGGGACTGGAAGACTCCGGATGTGCTTCAGAGCTGGGACCAAGTCCACTGAGCTGACCCTGGCCTCACCCCCAGCCTCTGGGCCCACCTGTGCCCATCAGTGAGGTGGGTGCTAACCCTGAGGACCCCCTGGGGGCCTGGGGCTGAGGGGTGGCAGCAGCTCTTCAGGGTCTCCCTGTGCCTGGACGCTTTGAGTCCCTCTCCGCTGCCGCCCAGCTGGCCAGCACCCTCTCTCCACCCAGCCCGCGCCTCTCCTGCCGTCTCAGGACACCCAGCGCTGGCTGAGGCTCAGCACACACACCAGCACCCCATTTCCTCCACCTGGCTCCTCACTCTGCCCTGCCAGCCTGGGGGGTGCACACGCTGCTTGCCTCCTCCAAGGACGAAACCCTACCTGGCTTTCCACGGCTGGTTCTAAGGCCCCTGCTCCTCCACGGAGCCTTTCCCCAGCCCCCAACCAGGTGTGTGCTTTTGTCCCACTCCACGGTGTGCCTTGTATTTATAACCATTCATTTATTCATTCTCTTGTTCAGCAAATATCAACTGAGCCTAAACAGTGTAAGGCCCGGATCTCAGGCACTTAGGATCCGCCAGGTCCGAGGGTGCCTGCGCTCCTGGGGCCTGAAGTCCAGTGGGGGAGGCGCTGCAGGGAAACCTCCTTAAAAGCAAGACCCGGGAGGTCTAGGCATGGGGACCACCCAGTCCCCTATGGAGGCTGACATGGGCCTGAGAGTGCCTGATAGGTAATAGCCGCCAAACAGCCCTGGCCAGAGAGGTGTGGTGGCCTTCCTGCGACTCGGTCACCCAGTCCTTTTCATCGAGGAGGACCCCAGGTGTTTCCCCACCCCTGGAGTCGCAGGGAAGCGACAGCAGTGGCCCCACCCCCACGCACCTGCGGGCCAGGCGGGCCAGGCCAGGGGTTCAGCGCCCCCGCCACCAAGCGGCTCAGCAGCAGCTGGTGCATCTGCGCGTTCTGCAGCATCATCAGCTCCAGCAGATCTGGGGGACGCGGGTTCTGCATGCCTCGCGGGGCTCCCCTCCCCACTGCCACCCCTCTCCCGTCCCCAGGCCTCCTCCCCGACGCCCAGCCCCGGGGGCGTGGAATGGCGGGGAGGGGACGCCGAGAGAATGTGTGGGCCAGAGGGGGCTGCGGGGGTGACCCCGAGTCTCACCTTCCTTCACGCGGCCCGGCTGCGAGGGCGGGGGTGGGACGGGCCACGCGAGGGGCTGCAGGACGGTCACCCAGGGCTGGGGCGTGTGGAGGGAGACTCAGCCAGGCCAGGCGGGAAGGAGTGGGGGCACGTCGTGAGCCCCAACCTCCACCCCCAGTCACCTCCCTAACCCTGCAGGGGCCGGGCTCCCCCTCCCCGCCCCCACGGCCTCCCCGCTCCGGGTCAAGCCGCCTGCTCTGGGTCTAAGGTCTCTCTCCTCCCCGCTGCCCCATCCCGCTCCAGGGTCCAGCCCGTCCAGGGTCCGCTCCCCACTCCGCCGTCCCCCCAGAACGGCTCTGCTCCCGGCTCAGCCCTCACCGTCGGGGCTGCACTCTGCGGTGGGGAGCGATCCCAGCTCCCGCCAGCCCCAGAGGCCATGGCAGGCGGGCCAAGGTTACCATGGCGACGCCGGGGACGCCAAAATATTTTTCACACGCATGCGCGAGGCCCGCTCCAAATCGCAGCCCCTCCCTCACCCTAGCCCCTCCCCTTCCCGCCGCCTCCGAGGAGCCCTCCCCACCCCCAGGAGGCTGGTCCCTCTCCGGGTGTCCACCTCCAACCCCGCCGCGCCGGTGCTCCAGCAGGTCACCGGGCCTTATCCCCCTGTCCCTCCCACCCTTGCTCATCCCCAGTCCTGGGCCTGGGGGGGACAGGGCATGTTTGTCGAGTGAATAAGTGAGTGGCTGGGGAGGCTCGTTTCGGAGTCCCAGAGGCGGATTGACTCAGCCCATGAGTTCAGAAGAAATAGAGAATCTTGTAGGAGTGGGTTTGGGGGCAGGGGCTCTGTGCCCAGTCACTCTTGTCATCCAGAGAGAGGGGCGCCTGCGGGCAGAGTGGTTTCTGGAGCCGACCAAGGAAGGAAGCACCGGCCAGATTGGCGGAAGAGGCCGGGGCTCTGTCCGGAAACACCTGGCCGGCTCCTCGTCTCTCCCCGCGGTGGTTTGCTCTCTGATTCCTGGCCGAGGTGAGCCTCTGCTCCTCAGAGGTGGAAGACTATGGTGAGTTCAGCACCCTCGTCCTCAGGACTGTCCCCCGTTACTGGAAAAGTTACCAAAGCATGCATTCTTCTGCCAGGAAGTTAGCAAGGTCTGTGTCGCATGAGAACAGGTGAAGGGGGAGATCTATTTCGGCAGCTGTGACCATCCTAAGATAGGCCCAGAGCAGCAGTCAAGGAAAATCCAGACAGGAAGCTGGGATTAGCACCCCCTGCGCTGCCCTTCCCCCAGCCTCCACTTGGGCTCAGCGCCCCTTCCTGGCAGTCCTGGAGTCTGCAACCGGGAAGACCATTCCCTCCCACCTCCTCCTCCTTCCCCAGCCCCTGTCTGTGGGGGAGGGGGCTGTGAGCAGTGCGCTTGTCCCCCTGGGTCTCATTGCTTCAATAGCCATCAACAAGGGCCCCAGTGAGTGGAGCACAGAGGCCCATCTCTCCATCCCCACCCTCATTCCAGGTAGACAGAAAACCAACCATGGTGCTCGCCATCAACAAACCTGGACCAAGGAAGTGCCTGTTTGTGCAAGGTGCCATCTGGACACTGGAGACAGAGTGGTTTGTTCACTGGCTCCAGCACCGTTGGGAAGTAAAAACGTCCCCATGAAAAGAGAGCAGACATACAAGACTGCCCCAGGGACAATGAAAAAGAGAGGACTCGGCCACTTGAGGGGGCCAAGCATCGTGGGAGGGAGGACGCTGTCCAGGTGGGGGACACAGCCCAGCAAAGGCCCAGATGCAGGAATGGACAGGACCCGAGACGATCCCGTGGGTCAAACTGGCTGTGGAGGAGGAGCAGGGCAGAGAGCAGGGGTCCCAGCAGCCCAGGCAGGTACAGGTCAGACTCCAGTGCCAAGCTGTGGAATTCAGACTTCATCTTGTAGGTAAATGGAGAAGTCTTGGTGGGTTTCGAGCAGGAGAGAAGGGGTGATGTGCACAGCCGTGCTTTAGGGAGATCCATCTCATTCCTCACATCTTTGTTTATGTCAACCAGAATTAGAAATAACAGGCCGGGCACGGTGGCTCACGCCTGTAATCCTAGCACTCTGGGAGGCTGAGGCGGGTGGATCGCTCAAGGTCAGGAGTTCAAAACCAGCCCTGAGCAAGAGCAAGACCCCCATCTGTACTATAAATAGAAAGAAACTAATTGACCAACTAATATATATAGAAAAAATTAGCTGGGCATGGTGGCGCATGCCTGTAGTCCCAGCTACTTGGGAGGCTGAGGCAGGAGGATCGCTTGAGCCCAGAAGTTTGAGGTTGCTGTGAGTTAAGCTGACGCCATGGCACTGTAGCCTGGACAACAAAAATGAGACTCTGTCTCTAAATAAATAAATAAATAACAAATGTCTGATGGAGATGTACCCTCCCAGTGGAATACTGTTCAGCCATGGACCATTTAGGGACAGAATCTCTCTCTTTATGTGGAGAGATGTCCAGGAGAGTTGAGCAGAAAATATCAGTAGCCATAGTAAGATCTTATTTTTGTTTTAAAAATCATATGTATATACAGATATCTAGCTGCAGAGAAGCTGTCGGAGCTGGCCCATACCCCCAGTCTCCTCTCCACCCCGGAGTCGCCTGCAGAGAGTCCCTGCACTCAGCCTCTGTCCCTCCACCTGAGGACATTTTCTGGACACAGTGAGACAGGCCAAAAGAAGGCCCAGGAGCAGCCCTCAAGCCATAAGGAGTGGGAGCTGATAGCTAAGCTCTGAGCTCCCTGGCCTCAGTGGGACAGCTCTGACGTGTCTTCCAGGGAGCCCCGACTGTCCCCAGGGAGGCCCGCCCCCCCCCAAGTGCACACTTTACCAGCTTTTCTGCTCTCCTGGCCCCTCTCCACTCCCTCGCCATGCTTCCTGCAATCTCCTTCCAAAGAAACTACAGCTCCCCCATCCTTGTCTCAGGCTCTGCTTTGCGGGGATCCCGACCAAGACACCAGCCTCCTGGTGGCTCCACGCCTACCACCAGGCTGCTGGAAACTCCTGGGAAAAGTGACTTCAGTAGCTCCATGATACGTTTGTGTGCAGGAAAGTGAAATATGGAAATAGACATTGAAGAAAATGAATGCGGGTTCATCATGGTCAAGGGGTTTAGCTGAGGCAAAGCTGGAGGCCGGGAGGCCACCACCCTCGTCTCTCTGAAGGAAGCCCAGGGGCAGGCTGGAGGTGGCCGTGGGAAGCAGGCAGGAAGAGGTGATAATTCCAATACCTTGCATATAAAGTTGCATGTTACCCACACATGAAGCTTACATTTTGAAAGACAAGGCTGGGATACAGACTGTCTGGCTTCTGGTGTTCGATTGAGGTTCTTTTTATTTTTTTTTTTTATTTTATTTTATTTTTTTCTTTCTCAAACTATTCAACGCATAGTACGATTGAGGTTCTTTGTCAAAGGAAACTGAAGCGTGTTGCTGTTTGAAGCAAGGCAAGCTGCCACTTACCTGCCTGAGGTGTTTGCTTACGGAAGATCTCACATCCGTCCGACAGAGCAGGAGGGGACTTTCCAGCCACGTGCCCTGCCTGCTATTATTTTCTTTGACACGTTGAACACTCCACCTATTTCCTTTGCATCATGTGGATATTTTTGTTTTTTGGGTTTTCTTTTTGTGTCCCAAGACGATATGTACTGAAAGTCTTCCCCTCTACCTTGGTAAGTCGATTTCTGAGAATAAGCTAAGCACGGGGAAAGATTAATATTCAAATGTGTTCATCATAGTGTTACTTCTTTTTTTTTTTTTTTTTGAGACAGAGTCTCACTCTGTTGCCCAGGCCAGAGTTCTGTGGCATCAGCCTAGCTCACAGCAACCTCTAACTCCTGGGCTTAAGCAATCCTGCTTCAGCCTCCCGAGTAGCTGGGACCACAGGCATGCACCACCGTGCCTGGCTAATTTTTTCTGTATATTTTTAGTTGGCCAATTAATTTCTTTCTATTTTTAGTAGAGACGAGGTTCTCACTCTTATTTAGGCTGGTTTCGAACTCCTGACCTTGAGCCATCCACCCGCCTCAGCCTCCCAGAGCGCTAGGATTACAGGCGTGAGCCACCACGCCCGGCCCATAGTGTTACTTTTTTAAGAGTTAAAAACTGAACATTCTTGAGGTCAGGAGTTTGAGACCAGCCTGAGCAAGTGTGAGACCTCATCTCTACTGAAAATAGAAAAAATTAGCCAGGTGTGGTGGTGCGTGCTTGTAGTCCTAGCTGGAGGCAGGAGGATTGCTTGAGCCCAGGAGTTGGAGGTTGCTGTGAGCTAGGCTGACGCCACGGCATTCTAGCTTGGACAACAGGACGGGACTCAGTCTCAAAAAAACAAAACAAAACTGAACATTACCCAGCATCTAATAACAGAGGATGGTTGAGTAAATTAAGGCAATTCACTCAAAGGAATATTGGGCAGTCAATAAACACCATGGATCTTTCAAATAAAAACCATGGAACTGGAAAATGAACTACCTCCTCTCTTCCTTAGATGAAAATGGAGAGAAAAGGGCCCTTGCTAGGAATTCCAGTGCAAATTTCAATGTTTATTTTTGGTGCAGGTGAGGAAGTGCCATACAGAGAGTGACAACCCAACAATGGGGCCTTTTCTCGGGCCTACTTCCTAAAGAGGCACAGAGTGGAAGGAGCTAGAGTGTGAAGGCTGAAGGAAAGGTACTAAATATTGCTCCGCACAATTATGTGGCTCACTGGATAAGTGAGAGAGAAGAAACTTTGAAAATATAATAGTGAGGACATTGCATTTTTCTGCTTAGAGGCTCTGACTGTACTGTTTCCGCAAATTACAGTTATGCTTGTGAGATCTGCAGCTACGGTTTTGTCCAATGGGCACCTGGTGGGACTTTGGGGACGTGTAGATAGGTAGACCACGCTGGTGTGATGTCCCGTGATGCCCCATCCACTGCCTGTGGGATGGAGTTCCAGAGCCCTCCCCTCCCAGCCCCAGAATCAGGTGCCACCAACCATCAGGGAACCTTCTGCTGAAGCTTCCAGGAAGTCACCCTGACCAAACACTCAGGGAAGACACTGACTGCTCAAACTAGAAGGTGGGGGTGGAGTGGGCCATGACAAGGCCAATTCCTGTAGGTTAGGGTGGGATTTTCTTTCTTTTTCTCCCTCCCTCTCTTTCTCCCTTCCTCCCTTCCTTCCTTCGTTTTGCTCTGTTGACTGGAGTGCAGTGGCACCATCTTAGTTCACTGTAACCTTGACCTCCTGGTCTCAAGCAATTCTCCCATCAACCTCCCAAAGCACTGGGATTACAGGTGTGAGTCACTGTGCCCACGCACAGGGTGGGATTTTCTGAGAGGTGGTTCTATTTTTCAGAATAGAAAAATTTCAGAATTTTCTTTTGTTTGTGGGCAGCCGAAAATCAATCTAAACTAGCTTAAGGGGAAAGGGTGGGGTTTCTGCTCACGTGATGGGACAGTGATGGAGCTAGCTGACAGCTTCACTGGCTCAGGGACCCAAAAGGTGTCTTTGGGTCCCCCTCTGCTTCCTTCCTTCCCCCTCCTGCATCTCCCCTTCTCCGTTTGATGTTCTTGTTCTCTCCTTCTACAGACAAGGCAGACGAGCTTCCTCTACAGGTGGGAGACACACCACAGGCATCTTCAGACTTACTTCGGTTGCTTCAGACAAATTTAGACACTCCCAAGAAGAGAGAAATTGTCTTTCTTTTTGTCTGGGTACATACAAATCCCAGGGAAGGACTCTGATTGGCCCAGCTTGGGTCATGTGCCCAGCTTTTGGACCAACCACTATGGCCAAGAGGATTGGGCAGGTATGGGTGACATGTCTATCCCTGTGGCAGGGTGGGGTGACCATCTTGTAATCAGCAGCTCTGCAGAATCACACATTTGGGTTAGGGGAGAAGCAGTTCCCCAAGAAAGGAGAAATACTGTTACCAAGAGAAGGAAGCATTCATTCCCCTTGGGCTGCAGAAAAAGGTCATAATTAACATAAAACTTTTTATTTCCCAACCAGCCCCATCCCTAATCCAAATGATACATTGTACAAATTAGAAAAATTAGCCCCTTCCCCTAGACATTTTGCTATCATGTGCCAGAAAATTATCATCTTAAATATACTAATCTATAATGACTTCAAATGTGACTGGTGCCCAGAATTGTGTAGTGCACAACCTATACGACTGAATGTAGCAGCCCTGCCCTCAGCTGTGCTAATACCCTCCAATTACTCCAGTCCCTCTGAAGACACGTTGTGCCCCATGGAGCTGTGGGCAGTGGCCAGGCAGAGACCAAGGGGCAGAGCCATAAATGAAAATGACAATGGCTCCTTCACCGCTCCTCCTGTGCCCACAGAAAGGGAGCAGTGACCTAGTGACCAAGGGGACTGTGACCAGGATTACAGGTGTGTAATTACAGGTGTGACCAGGAGTTCCAGACAGTGACCAGCAGCAAAGCAAACTGGAGCCACAGCAGGGCTGGGAGTGATGAGAGGGGACTCCAAGAAGCAGCTTCGGGGAGATAACTTGGAAAGAATAAGAGAAAAAATGTTCGCTTTCCCTCTGAGTGCTAGAAGAAGCGGGACCCTTGCAAAGAATCGCTGGGGAAGGCCGGCGCTTGGATTACATCAGTGACAAAACGACGTGGGAATGTTTGTCAGAAAGATGAGCAAGCAAAGCAGGATGAAGAACCGCGCACAGAGGCTCCTCCACTTACAACGGGACTACATCCCAGTAAGCCCATCGCAAAGTCAAAATCCCTAGTCAAACCATCTGGAGTTGGGGACCCTGTACAGAGCACAGCAACGCTCGCACCTGGGTCTAGAAAACACCGCCCTGAGGGTGTGAGTGACTCTCCTCCAGGGTCACCCCAAGCAGGGCTGAGACTTCTCAAACCACAGCCAGGCCTGGCTCCCCAGGAGGGGCCCGGTGGAGACTCAGGCTGTGTCCACAGAGTCTGGCCGGAGTTGCCGGGGGGGGGGGGTACAGGGGCCACTGGACCCATGCCAGGGCTAAAGGTTACCACCCCGCAGGCCTCCCTGTGCCCCTCTCAAAGGCCACTCAGTCCTGGGCTCAGCTCAGCTCTGTCCTGCGCAGCAGTGGAGCTCGGGGCTGCCAGGGCAGACGGTGGCAGAGATGGGCAGGGGAATGCCAAGGCTGACTGTTTAGGGAGACTGGGGACACTTGGGGGACAGGATACCCCCCAGGGTTCTCGTACCACCAGCCGTCGGGCATTTCACAACAGCTCCACTAGGGGTCACCACAGCCCCAGAGTGGGGGGGCGGGGGAGGAGGCTGAGCCAACCCCATCCCTGCCCCACCACTCTCCTCCCCAAGCTCCAGGGACAGATGTCTAGTCGGTGGGGTGGGGTGGGGGGGTTGTAAATGCCCCTTGACACTTCTGTGTGGCCCAGCTAAACAGCTGGGTTGTGTGCGTGTGTGTGTGTGTGTGTGTGGTGTGTGGCATGGCTGTAGGTGTACAGACAGACATACACCTGACACAAGTCTAGGGACCATGATAGGTGGCACTGTGTCCGTGTGAACGTGAGCACGTGCATGGGTGCAGACCACTGCCCCAATGTAGGTCACACGCCTGAAAATACAGAAATGCATGAGCACGACTGTGGCTGTGTGTGCACACGGATGTACACTCAGTAAAGTCTCATGTCCGTGATATGTGGCATTCGTGTTCATCTGGGCAAGAGTGTGCATGTGAGTGCGTACACAAGCCCTGTATATATATAT